TACTTATATACATACATTTTCAAAACATATTTACCTCATATTTACCCACGCTCTCTTCCATCCTTCACCATCTTTTATGGATCCTCCGCAAGCATTTAATTTTTCGGCGAGGTGGTTCCACTGCTCAGCTAAACTTTTGCTCCCGGTGCCATTGACGAATCTTAAAAAAGAAAAAACTTAAACAAAATCATTTACGGGAAAATGTTTTGCATACCTGTCGTGAGCAAACTCTCTATGATCCTCCAAATATTGAACGAGCATATATTTTTTATCCTTCGTCACTCTTTTGCTATTGCGGTTTTCCATATTTTGCTATTAATTAAACAATTTCTTTAATATAAAAGAGTATTTTTAACAAAAAACAATATAAGCATTACCTTTTTTGTCGCGTTATTTTTTTAGCACCAACTTTTTCTAGTCGCCAAATTCGCAGAATTTTAAGCCAACAATGGAGATTTGTAGCAATGGAAAAGACGCTGGAATCGCCATTTTAGCTGATGAGCTGTCAAAAACTGTTCACTCACTTTATCCGGGTTCATTTTGAACCAAAAAAAGAATCTTTTTAGAGATGAGTTTTTAAGCGCGAATCGCAAAAATCTCCCAAAATTGCTAAAATCCATTTAGTATTTTTTGGCGATGGAGTTTTAGCAATAGCGAAAGCTGGAATCCGGCTGCTGGATTATGTTCCATTTTTGAGAGCAAACTTTTCGCTTATTCTCTAATTACCGGATCCGGTCCGGATTGTTAGGGAAAGAACCTAATATATACAGTAATAAACCATTTCGCAGTTTTTTCACCAATTGGTCCCCGAGGTGTACTTTTGGGTTGTGTGCAGCGTTTTCATTTTGCGAGCACGGCAACACTTACTTTCCCCACAGGATTATAAAAAGTTCTTTTCGAGGATAAAATATATATAATTGTGTTATTTATGAACAAACTGTAGGTTTAATATAATATCAATGCTTAATTAAGAATAATATCAACAGTATAGTACATAATTATTGCCTGTGTTTCTTTAAACTAGAAATTCAAATCGTAATTATAGCACTGGATGGAGTTTTCTTAAATGTAAATTAAAAATCAATAAAACATCCATTGTAAGATTATATTTTTATGAAAAAACATGAAATTTGTGAATTTATCATGGAAAATTCTAAATTTCCGAATATATTTAAGTCTTTATTACAAAACAAAACATGGTTGGTATAGTTATAGAGACTCCAAAGCCTGCCAGCGCATCCGCCCATAGAGCTCATTAAGCAAACCCAAGTTTGAGCGACCATTACCCGGAGCTCCTCAAAAAATACTCAACATCAAAGTATAGAATGTCACAAATATGAATCATACACACGTACAATAGGCTATGAATGGCTACTGTATAAACTCAGGACACGCATTTACTTGGAGACTCTGAAGGTTATGATGGTCATAAGTTCAGCCAGCACATTTAATGGTCCATTACCATTAAGAAAAGTGTTTTTTACGAAATTACCTGTGCCACTCTGGCATAGTACGGTTTTTGCTACCTTAGCACAAACATGTGCTACAAAATTGCTTGCATTTTTTTATGCTTCGTCTTCATATTCTTTGTTTACTTTTCAAAGAAAATTATCATGGCGCCGAAATTACAAACGTCAGCCAGAAAATT